TAGAAGCAACCTAAATATCCAGCAACTGATGAATAAGGTGGATTCATACAATGGAATATTATTCAGCCATAAAAAGTAATAAAGTACTAACACTTGCTACAACATGGATGAACCTTGAAAACATAAGTGAAAGAAGCCAGTCCCAAAGATTTCATTTAAATGAAATGTCCAGGCTAGGAAATCCATAGAGACAAAAAGTAGATGAGTTGTTGCCAGGAGTGAAGAGAAAAGGGAAGTGATTGCTAATGGGAATAGGGTGATAAACATGTTCTATACTTAATTTATGTTGATGGTTGCAAAAATCTGTGAATACACTAAAGCCATGGATTGTATACTTTAAGTGGGTGAATTTTATGTATTGAAATATTTCAATACATATTTTAAAAGATGGGGTACAAAAGTTTATCTTGTCTATATTATTAAGTATTATGCTCTAAGAAAATCTGAATTGGCCGGGCATGGTGACTCATGCCTGTAATCCCAGCACTTTGGGAGGCTGATGGGTGGATCACTTGAGGTCAGGAGTTCAAGACCAGTCTGGCCAATGTGGTGAAACCCCCATCTCTACTAAAAATACAAAAATTAGGCAGGCATGGTGGCAAGTCCCTGTAGTCCCAGCTACTCGAGATGCTGAGGCAGGAGAATCGCTTGAACCAGGGAGGTGGAGGTTGCAGTGAGCTGAGATCATGTCACTGCACTACAGCCTTGGCAACAGAGTGAGAATCTCTCTCTCAAAAAAAAAAAAAAAAAAAAAAAATCTGAATCCTAAAAAAAAGTTAGAAACAATAAACTGGTCAATAATTGGACTTGCCACATTGTTCTGTGAAGTGTTAATTATTAACTAACTTTTTTTGTTGTTGTTGTTGAGACAAGGTCTTGCTCTGTCTCCCAGGCTGAAATGCAGTGTTGCTGTCATAGCTCACCGTAGCTTTGAACTCCTGGGCTCAAGCGATCATCCTATCTTAGCCTCCCAAGCAGCTGGAACTATTGGTGTATACCACCATGCCCAGCTAATTTTGTAATTGTAGAGATGAGGGTCTCACTGTGTGTGGCCATTAACAAAATTTTTTTTTTTTTGGAAACAGTCTTGCTTTGTTGCCCAGGCTACAGTGCAATGGTGCGACCTCTGCTCACTGGAACCTCTGCGTCCCAGGTTCAAGTGATTCTTCTGCCTTAGCCTCCTGAGTAGCTGGGATTACAGGTATGTGCCACCACACCTGGCTAATTTTGTATTTTTAGTAGAGATGGACTTTTGCTATGTATGCTAGGCTGGTCTCGAACTCCTGACCTCAGGCGATCCACCTGCCTCAGCCTCCCAAAGTGCTGAGATTACAGGTGTGAGCCACTGTGTCTGACCCGTGAGCCACTGTGCCTGGCCAATATTTTTATACTACTTAACATTTTGAAAGTATATTAATAACATAACTTTTTTTAAAAAAAGAATACCTGGCCAGGTGTAGTGGCTAAGGCCTGTAATCCTAGCACTTTGGGAGGCTGAGGCAAGAGGATCACTTGAGCCTGGGAGTTTGAGACGAGCCTGGATAACATAGCAAGATCCCATCTCTATGAAAAACTTAAAAATTAGCTGGGCACTGTGGCACACACCTGTAGTCCCAGCTACTCATGGAGGCTGAGGTGGGAGGATTTCTTGAACCTAGGAGGTCAAGGCTGCAGTGAGCCATAATGTGGCACTGTACTCTAGCCTGTATGGCAGAGCAAGATTCTGTATTTAAAAAAAAAAAAAAAAAAAAAAAAAGAATGCCTATTTGTGCACTTTTGGGTTTACAATTGTATGCATGTCTGAATATGTTTGTACATACGTTATCTATATGCATATGCTCCATAATTGTCACAGATATGATAAATAAGGTAGTTGCTGCCTGACCCTTAGCTTTTTCACACCACATAGGCAAGACTGGCTGTGTAACTGCAGCTGCTGTTTGCAGAGCCTGGGTTCCTATTTCTGAGCTAGCCTCTGTACTGTACAATCAGTTGACCAAGAATTTTGCTCAGAGAAGCCTCAACAACTTTGAGTTTTTCTAAGTTTGGTCAGCGGCAGGTGGAAGCAGAATTGCCTGGGGCCTTGATTCTGAACATCCAATGGTGAGCCTGGGGGAGTCTCATTTTAACAAGCCTCGCAGGATGTGTGATCTGCACTTACTTTTGGAACTTTTAGGTCTGTGCACCAATTCCTGATTGCTGGGAGTAGCTGACTCTGTCTTTGGTCTCACAGGCCTGTTGACACTTTGCTTGCCCACATGAGCATGAATACCATGCCTCCCTGTTGTTAACCATAATGCCATATCACTGAGCTTGGTGTTGGGTCTTCAGGTTCATTCTATGTGGACTGCCCCGTATTTCCACGCTTTGCTGAGTCTCTGATTTCTGGGGACCCTGATGCCCCAAAAGAAGCTGCAGAAGCAGCAGACAGGACATGATCAGCTCTCCCCACAGGCCACACTCACAATATAGGACCTGCACTGGAGCCCTAGATCGTGGATTCTAGGCTCACTTCTGTACCCCAACCTCACATTTGATTGGGGGCAATGGGGAAGCCTATTATGCCAATAATCTCTCAAAGCTGGTGAAGGCTCAAGTGACTCCTTGTGCGAAGGGAAAACTTTCCTTTGCTCTCTGAAGGTTCGCGAAAATCAATTGACAAAAGGCAGATTAAGACGAGAAAAGGCACCAGGTGCTGTGGCTCACGCCTATAATTCCATCACTTTGGGAGGCCGAGGAGGGCGGACCACCTGAGATTAAGGGTTCGAGACCAGCCTGGTCAACATGGTAAAACCCCGTTTCTACTAAAGATACAAAATTAGCCGGGTGTGATGTCAGGTACCTGTAATCCCAGCTATTCAGGAAGCTGAGGCAGGAGAATCACTTGAACCTGGGAGGCAGAGGTTGCGGTGAGCAGAGATCACGCCATTGCACTCCAGCCTGGGCAAAAAGAGCAAAATTTGGTCTCAAAAAAAAAAAAAAAAAAAAGAGGAGACAAGGCAGACAAGTTTATTAATGTGCATAGTTAATCACAGAGTGATTACCCCATCATCCAGAGTGTAGATATTTTAGATGGGTAGTAAATGATTTTTTTTTTTTTTTTTTTTTTTTTGAGACGGAGTCTCCCTCTGTTGCCCAGGCTGGAGTGCAGTGGCCGGATCTCAGCTCACTGCAAGCTCCGCCTCCCGGGTTTACGCCATTCTCCTGCCTCAGCCTCCCGAGTAGCTGAGACTACAGGTGCCTGCCACCTCGCCCAGCTAGTTTTTTGTATTTTTTTAGTAGAGACGGGGTTTCACTGTGTTAGCCAGGATGGTCTCAATCTCCTGACCTTGTGATCCGCCCGTCTCGGCCTCCCAAAGTGCTGGGATTACAGGCTTGAGCCACCGCGCCCAGCCTGTGATTTTTAGGGTAATTCAGTGGGCTTGAAGAACATGCAATGGCCTGGGACAAAGTCTGCTGGGCTTGCAGGGGAGTCAAGGGTTTGTGACAAAAGTCTGTCCTGGTGTGTTGACATACTTCAGTCTTTCCTCCTGCAAAACCAGTTCAGTTAATGAAAACTCAGGGAGGAAACCAGAGGTAATTGTTTCCTTTGGTGTTCTGGACTAAATTTAGGCAGATAAGGGAACAACTTCATCTTGGGCTTTGGGAGGAATAAAGAATTGACAGACAGGAGTGTGGTGGTGGGTGAGGTCAGAGAGACCTTGAGGCTTCTTCATCAGTTCAGCATGTCAAAATACATTTTGGGGTATTGGTTTCTGAGCCCCAACACCCAGTTACCGTACTTGAATGCTTCCAGGGATGGGGAATTCACCACTTTAAAGGAAGCTCTTTTGTCTCTCAGTGTGTCTGCTACTTGAGCCTAGAACAGACAGCCGAGTCATGCCAGCTAAATAGAAACTTTCAGGCCCAGCCAGTCGCGATGGCTCACACGTGTAATCCCAGCATTTTGGGAGGCTGAGACGGATCACTTGAGCTCAGGAGTTCGAGACCAGCCTGGGCAACATGGCGAAACCCTGTCTCTATTTAAAACCAAATCCAAACTTGCTCATTTCCTCTGGACACATTCTTTCTGGCTCCTTCCAGCATCTTTTGTAAACCCAGGTGTCACTGTTCTGGTTAAAATCCTTCAGTGGCTCCCCATTCTTGGGATCTAGCCAGGATCCCTGTCTGGCCTACTGGCCTTGCTGACCTCTGCAACCTCATCTTCTCCATTCTCTACCTGCCCTGCCCCCCAGCCCCTCCTACCCCATATCTTGCAATTCTCTTACCAGGCCATGCTCTCTCTTGCTCTGACCGACTCCCCTTTTCTCAGAAAATTGCTCATTCTTCAGTTCTCCAGGATCACTTCCCTGATCCCAAGACTAGATTGGGTCCCTGGCTTGCTTATTCATGGTTGTAGCACGCTGGACTTCTCTTTACTAGTACTTGTCAACGCTGAAATTCTCCACTTATTGAGCAATTTAGTTCACTAATGTCTGCTCCTCCACTCGATGGTAAAGTTCAGGCGAGCAGGGCTCCGAGTGTGCTCTCATTGCCTCTCCAGCACCTAGCAATGTGCCTGGCAAGTATTCACCGGATGGATGGATTACTCGCTCCAGGAAGGCGGGCCCCAACCTGCGTGGCTGTGGAGACCCCTGGAAGTGGACCTATCTATCCCTGACCCGGGCCCCCTGATATCCCTTAGGATGAGGCGGTGCCCGGGAAACTCCCAGGGCAAGAAAGACACAGCATAGCTCTGACTGGCATCCAGCTGCCAACTGGAAGAGGGCGCTCCGACTCTGTGCTTAGGGACCTCAGTTTTCCCACCGATTCCCAGCAGGGTCGACCGCGAAGGGCCCTTGCAGCCCTGGGTAGACCCAGGGCATGCGCCACGGGCTGCGGCGGTCTGAGGAGCCGGGAGCCGCTCTGTGCCCTCGCAGGCCGCCGCTCCGGGCGAGGGCGCTCCAGGCTGGTCTTCTGGAGCAGTCGTGCGCTGACGGGGCCCTTCTGGCTGGCAGGTGGTGGCGCAGTGCGCGTCGGGAAGGCGGCGGGCTATCCGGTCCTCGGCTGCGGCGGGCACCATGGTTGGTGGCGAGGCGGCAGCTGCAGTGGAGGAGCTGGTCTCGGGGGTGCGGCAGGCTGCTGACTTCGCGGAGCAGTTCCGCTCCTACTCAGAGAGCGAGAAGCAATGGAAGGCCCGCATGGAATTCATCTTGCGCCACCTGCCCGACTACCGCGACCCGCCCGACGGCGGTGGCCGCCTGGACCAGCTGCTGTCCCTCTCCATGGTCTGGGCCAACCATCTCTTCCTAGGCTGCAGGTGCGGACCCCTGCCGGCCGGCTGATCCTGTCCCCTCTCTTCCGACCCTCAAGCCCTCTTCCAGGGCTCACCCCTGACCCGCACCTCTGCCCCAGACTGAACCCGCTCCCAACCTCCTTCCGCATTGGCCAGCCCGAAGACTGATTCCCCCTCTGAAGGCCCCTTGGAACGATCCTTATCTTTGAGCCTCAGTTTTCTCTTCTGGTAAAAGGGTGGTTATGATGACTGTAATAATTAAAGGGTGAAGAGCTAAATACATGGCGGGTTCAAAAGTTGCTGTTGTTATTTGTATTACTACTATTATTAGCTCAAACCATCACCTTTCAAGCGTGCATTCGAAGTCCGTTAGCCCCTGTCACCTACATGGCAAAGTGCAGAGACAGAAACGGAGATCCCCATTTTACAGATGAAAAAGCTTAGGGAGGGAAGTGATGTAACTAGGACCATGCAGCTTCTGGCAGGTTTGATGGATTTTAACCACTAATGACAGGATGTAATCTGTATCCTACGGCTTTTTGTCCTCACTCCACAGCCTACTGGGTCCTAAGTAGGAACCAGCTTCACCTTCTGCTTTCCCTCTTATGAAAATGACCGATGCCTTTTTGTTAAGGTCCCAAAGCCCACTTCATCCTGGCTGCTGCACCAAAAGGACAAAGGCCCGCTTTTGAAGTGCCTGATAAGGCTTTCCCTTCACCCCTCCATGAGGAAGGTGGCAAATCTTGAGACTCCCTATTAGAGAGCCTCCATTTTCCTGAAATTGTGTTAGGAAAATAGGGTGACTTGGTTTGATCTTGGTTTCTGTACCTATTATGGTTGCCTGACTATGGTCATTTGGCCCCTCCAGGCCTAAGCCACTTGGTTTTGCTTCATATATTGGGGTTTATTAGAACAGTATGTAGGGAACCAATGCCAGAGACACCCGTCCCTTTTCCCTGCCTTCTAGGTGCTCCTGGGAAATCCTGGTTTTCCATGGTTAGGCAAATGTCAGAGAATTGGGCGAATAAATAATGTTTTTGTTAGACTGACATTCCATGTATTTTAAAAATAAACAAAAATATTTTGGCCCTCATCTCGTATCTGAGAATATCTGTTGTTGGATGTACAGTGCCTCTGTTCTTCTAAATCTTGAAACATTTGCTCTACTGGTATTTATAAAGTCCACTTCTGTATCTACAAGCAAGAAGTGTTCACAGGACCAGGCGCAGTGTCTCACGCCAGTAATCCCAGCACTTTGGGAGACCAAGGCGGGAAGATCACTTGAGGTCAGGAGTTCGAGACCAGCCTGGCCAACATGGTGAAACCCTGTCTCTACTAAAAATACTAAAATTAGCCGGGCATGGTGGCACACGCCTGTAATCCCAGCTACTCAGGAGGCTGAGGCAGGAGAATTGCTTGAACCTGGGAGGTGGAGGTTGCAGTGAGCCAAGATCACACCACTGCACTCCAACCTGGGGGATACAGCAAGACTCCATCTCAAAACCTTGTGCTGAGCATGCATAGGTTTGCCCTGCAGTATCAGATCAGTTCTCTGAGAGTTGATTTTATGGTCGAGCAACCTGCAGTTTCTTATTAATTCACAATGACAATTCTTCCGAGGTTTTTACCTTATTACTTTTTATTGTGCAGTTACAATAAAGACCTTTTAGACAAGGTGATGGAAATGGCCGATGGGATTGAAGTGGACGACCTGCCACAATTTACTACCAGAAGTGAGTTAATGAAAAAGGTAAATAGGATTTCCAAGTGTATGTGATGAAATGGTGTAGAGTTAACAGTCCCTGCTTTGATGACACTATTATTGTTTTTGAGTGCTCTTGTTTACTACCCCAAAGACCTATACGTTTTCATTATTATTTCCCCATAATTGGTATAACCTTTTCATAAGTAGTTGACAACACATTGTGATAAATTATGCGTTGTTGATGAGGTAACACATAAGCTTAACCTCTTCTGGGTGTTTAGGAACATTGTTTTGAGATTTTTGCTTGATCTTTAAAAACATGTTGGCTAGAATACTTGTTTCCTACTTGTTAAAAAATCTTGTTGGTAATAGAGTAACTAACTCATCCTTACCCTGGCTGTGAGTGCTGACCTGACTAGTTTGGCTTCTCTGATTTGCTGATAGGAATGTGGCTGGAGCAATGTCGATACCGTAGCTGTTCTCTATCCTGTGGGGTCTGATCTCAGGCGATGGATTTCTTACAGTGAGTCTTGCCTAGAGTCTTGAATCTGGATGCTGGAGCTGGGCCTATAGAGAGTGTGGCAGAAAGAACCTCAGAGTATGGAGCTGGGCATCCCAGCTATTAATACTTTTCAGAATCACCCCCAATATGTACTTGTTTCACATTTATCTGCTCAGGCAGCAGAATTAATTGCTCGCTTATCTTCCAGAATTCCTTTGGCACTTTATCCAGACCTCTTTTAAAGCAGTTGTGACCTTGAGGGAAGAGATGGTGTCTAAAGTTTTATTTAGTCTTTAGTACTCCCAAACCTAGTATACTTATACCCCAGAGAAGGTACTCAGAAAATACTTATAAAATCGACTGAAGCAATAGAGTAAAAAGCTACTGGTCCCTTTTTAGGTCTGCCCTTAGAAACATAGGTAAGCCCATTCCTCCACATTCAGGTCTTGTCTTGGGAGGTGGGGCACATACAGAGGTCCTCTTCCATATGGGTGTCAAGGATCTAATCAAATCCTCAGTTGCTTGTAAAGTATTTCAGTCCCAAACAGCACACCCCACTTGATTTTCAGGATGGTTTGTTTTTCTTAAAAAGTATTCTTTTAGTTTTAATCTGAACCTGGGGAAAAGCTTCAGGTTGGTTTTTGAGATGCTATTATGTTTTTAAAATTGGCTGTTATCTCAGTGCAGTACTCCTGACAAAAAATAAATAAATAAGTAAAACCAGCTGTTACAAAGGGGTTCCTGTTTTTAGCCAGGGGGCAATGTGAATTGCGAGTTTGTGGCTTTTTGGATCTTCTCATGTAATACTTAAAAACTTATTGGGCAGTCCTTGGGTGTCCTATAGTGAGGTTCTTGGGGCCCAGCCAGGGAGGAGCTAGATAGTTTCTGGCTGCTGGAGTATACCTTATGGGGCAGGGGCAGAGGCAGAGGTAGGCAGGGAGTGAGGTGAGCCTTTATTTTTAATTTATTTTTTAGACAGAGTCTCACTTTGTCACCCAGACTGGAGTGCAGCAGCACGATCTCGGCTCACTGCAACCTCTGCCTCCAAGGCTCAAGTGATTCTAGCACCTCAGCCTCCTCAGTAGCTGGGATTACAGCCGGGTACCACCACACCCAGCTAATTTTTGTATTTTTAGTAGAGATGGTTTTGCCATGTTTTCCAGGCTGGTCTTGATCTCCTGGCCTCAAGTGATCTGCCCAGCCTCCCAAAGTGCTAGGATTACAGGCATGAGCCACTGCACCTGCCCGAGCCTTTATTTTTTAACTGCTTGTGGTAGATTCTTTCCTTTTTGTTTCTAAGAGGTTTTCTGATTTTCCTTTTTTTTTTTGAGATGGAGTTTTGCTCTTGTTGCCCAGGCTGGAGTGCAATGGTTCAGCTCACTGCAACCTCTGCCTTGCAAGTTTAAGTGATCCCTTGCCTCAGCCTCCCGAGTGGCTGGGATTACAGGCACCTGCCACCACGCCTGGCTATTTTTTGTATTTTTAGTAGAGATGGGGTTTCACCATGTTGGCCAAGCTGTTCTCCAACTCCTGACTTCAGTTTATCTGCCCACTTCAGCCTCCCAAAGTGTTGAGATTACAGGCGTGAGCCACCATGCCTGGAAAGGTTTTCTGATTTTTTATATCAGTTCTCCATTATACTTCTCTGTCCTACATGTTTTCTGAAAGGTATCTGAACTCCTTCCAGTCATGTTGGGTATTAGAGATCAGAACACCTAATGACATTGGGCTGCAGACCCCAGTAGGAGACTAAGGAGGTTTGGCACATCCCAAACATTATAGACCAGTGTGAAATATGTGTGTGTGTGTGTGTGTGTGTGTGTGTGTTAGGAAGGGTCTGTCTGAAACATCCTAAAGGGGTCTTTTTTTTTTTTTTTGAGACGGAGTCTCGCTCTGTCGCCCAGGCTGGAGTGCAATGACCGGATCTCAGCTCACTGCAAGCTCCGTCTCCTGGGTTCACACCATTCTCCTGTCTCAGCCTCCCGAGTAGCTGGGACTACAGGCGCCCGCCACCTCGCCCGGCTAGATTTTTGTATTTTTTAGTAGAGACGGGGTTTCACCATGTTAGTCAGGATGGTCTCGATCTCCTGACCTCGTGATCCACCCGTCTCAGCCTCCCAAAGTGCTGGGATTACAGGCTTGAGCCACCGCGCCCGGCCAAAGGGGTCTTATACTTAAAAAATGTACAGAGCCCCTGCCCTGGGATGTTCATTCTTGACACTGTCATTGAACAGTGTGAGTCTACAGAGAAGAGTCCTCAGGCATGAAATTATCATCTTGAAACCAGTGCTGCCATCTTACTAATCATTAGCAGTTAGCTATGTGGAAGAAACCTATACAGAGGCCATACTTCTATAGCATTTTTATTTTATTTTATTTTACTTTATTTTTTTGAGACGGAGTCTTGCTCTGTCACCCAGGCTGGAGTGCAGTGGCTGGATCTCAGCTCACTGCAAGCTCCGCCTACCGGGTTTGTGCCATTCTCCTGCCTCAGCCTTCCGAGCAGCTGGGACTACAGGCGCCCACCACCTCGCCCGGCTAGTTTTTTGTATTTTTTTTTAGTAGAGACGGGGTTTCACCGTGTTAGTCAGGATGGTCTCGATCTCCTGACCTCGTGATCTACCCGTCTCGGCCTCCCAAAGTGCTGGGATTACAGGCTTGAGCCACCGCGCCCGGCCAGTCTATAGCATTTTTGAATTGTGTGTTGCAACTTCCTTCAAATAAAACTTATATTTTTCTAAGTAGCCAGGTTTAACTTTAGTCTGTTGATGCCACTGTAAGTGAAATTCAGCTGATTCTGAAAGGTGAGATACTTCGTGGGTGCATAGAGTTTTGCCAGTTTTGTTTTGTGCATAGACTTTTGCCTGTTGCTCAGGCTGGAGTGCAGTGACTTGCTCACAGCTAACTGCAGCCTTGACCTCCCAGGCTCAAGTGATCCTTGCACCTTAGCCTCCCCAGTAGCTGGGACTACAGGTGTGCGCCACCATGCTTGGTTAATTTTTGTAGAGACCAGGTTTCGCTGTGTTCTCCAGGCTGGTCTCAAATGATTCAACTGCCTCAGCCTCCCAAAGTGCTGGTGTGAGTCACTGTGCCTGGTGAGTCTTTAAGACTTCTAGATAAGCCCATTCTGAGAACGAGTCATCTGATCTGTGTACCATGACAAATTTGTGTGGTATTGAAGGCTGTCCCCTCTCCATTGAAGGCCACTGGAAAGAGAGCCATGAGGACTTTGCAGCAGTTTTGTCCTTTGCCTGCAGTTTTTGCACATATGATAGAGGATGCTGATAAACATTAGGCAACATTGCCAGCCCACAGACAAAATACTCCTGATGTCCAGCCTTACACCTGAAAACGTCTGTTGTTGTTCTGCCCAGAATTGATCTTTAGCTAAAAAATTAGAGTTTAGTTGAGTTTTAAAGCTAGCTACCAAGTGGGAGTAAATTTCCTGGCATTGTTGGTATCTCAAGACAGAGAGTGATGATGATTTGGAGGCACAGGCTCTTTAAGATTTTAAAAATACTTTATGGCTATTCTGCAGCTTTGAGGCAAGTACAGCTCTGCAATCTGTCCAGCTCTTTTTTTAAGTCTGAGAAAAGAAATGAGCATTGGTTTCTGACAGGTGGGATTTGTTGGACAGTTGCAGTATATGATTTTTTTTTTCTTTTGAAAGGGGATTCAAACACACATACATTGAGTAAACAATCTTGATTATCTAACTGCCATCCTAGGCTCCTGCTAGCAGCCTTTGTGGTTGCTCACCTTACCAATTAATGAGCGATAATTAACAAAGAGCAGCAGCTGACTCAGGAAAGGTGTCATTGCTATGACTGTCAGAGTTGATATTTCCAAGGTAATGTCTTAAGGAGAAAGGAGTGATTGACTAGGAAGCTATCATTACTGACTCAAAGAAGCTGTCAACCTAATTACGTGGTCCGTTTTTTCTGAGAACATTTTTATCCCAAGAGGGAAAATGGCAGTATGAAAAGTGACTATGAAGGCCAGGCGTGGTGGCTCACACCTGTAATCCTAACACTATGGGAGGCCGAGGCAGGCAGATCATGAGGTCAGGAGTTCGAGACCAGCCTGACCAACATGGTGAAACCCCCATCTCTACTAAAAATACAAAATGTAGCTGGGCGTGGTGGTGCGTGCCTGTAATCCCAGCTACTCAAGAGGCTGAGGCAGGAGAATCACTGGAACCTGGGAGGCAAAGGTTGCAATGAGCCGAGATCGCACCACTGCACCCCAGCCTGGGCAACAGAGCGAGACTTTGTCTCAAAACAAAAAATAATAAACAAAAAGAAAAGTGACTATGAAATTTGAAAGGCCAGGTGCATTGGCTCATGCCTATAATCCCAGCACTTTGGGAGTCTGATGAGGTGGGCGGATCATTTGAGGTTGAGAGTTCAAGATCAGCTTGGCCAACATGACAAAACCCCATCTACTAAAAATACAAAAATTAGCCAGGTGTGGTAGTACATGCCTGTAGTCCCAGTTACTGTGGAAGCTGAGGCAGGAGAATCACTTGAGCCTGGAAGGTGGAGGTTGTAGTGAGCCGAGATTGCACCACTGTACTCTAGCCTGGGTGATGGGGTGAGACAGTTTCAAAAAAAAAGAAAGAAAAAGAAATTTCAAAGAAAAGCAAGAAAAACAAGTGTGCCTGCTTTTGTGCATTTTGTCATCTTGGTAAGCTCTGAGGTACTAGAGCTGCTGTTTCCTTGGTGGAAGCAGCTGTGATTCTAAGATGGTGCAAATGTTGGTGAGTATTAAAAAAAAAAAAAAAAAAAATCAGCCTGGCCTGGTGGCTTCGCCTGTAATCCCAGCACTTTGGAAAGCCGAGGTGGGAGAATTGCTTGAGCCCAGGAGTTCCAGACCAGCCTGGGCAGGATAGTGAGACTTTTGTCGCAACAAAAAATAAAATAAAAACTATCTGGGCATGGTGGCACATGCCTATGGTCCCAGCTACTCGAGGCTGAGGTGGGAGGATCACTTGAGCCTGGGAGGTTGAGGCTGTAGTCAGCCATGATCGTACCACTGCACTCCAGCTTGGGTGACAGAGTGAGACCCTGTCTCAAAGAAAAGTTAAAAAAAAAAAATCAGCCTGTCAGATTAGTTAAATCAGAGGTCTTGTTGTACCCCAAGATAAATGCTCATTGGAGGTACTTGTCTTTTACTCTTTATACACTAGAAATAGAAGCCAGAAAAGGTATGTCTCATCGCACAGACCAGTCTTGTCTGGAGCTCATGAGTCAGTAGTGGATCACCTGCAAACACCTGTGGAAAAGACGGTATTCACAGCAGCCCAAACCGGCGGCAGCTGTGTGCTTTCATAGCATTGGTCTGTCCTGTCATTTGAGAGATGACTGAGGGGATTTTTTTCTCTTTGGACTTAAGATGGTTACTTTAGGCATTCCCCTAAATGATGAAAGTCTTCTTATAATTTTCTTTTGCTGAGGAATTTTGGTTTTTTTTCATCTCAAAAAGACTGACTGGGACTGGGCGCAGTGGCTCACGCCTCTAATCCCAGCACTTTGGGAGGCCGACGTGGGTGGATCATGAGGTCATGAGTTCAAGACCAGCCTGGCCAAGATGGTGAAACCCCGTCTCTACTAAAAACTACAAAAATTAGCCAGATGCAGTGGCAGGCACCTGTAATCCCAGCTACTTGGGAGGCTGAGGCAGGAGAATTGCTTAAACCCGGGCAGCAGAGGTTGCAGTGAGCCGAGATCATGCCACTGCACTCCAGCCTGGGTGACAGAGTGAGACTCCATCTCAAAAAAAAAAAAAAAAAAAGCACTGACTGGCCTACCTAGGAAACAGGTCATACCTTGAAATCTCTGATTACTAAAAAGACTCTCAGATTGATTCACTTGCACTGCTAAATGTTAAGGAAATTCATTCAAATACAAGGTGACAGCCAAAGTGATTTTTTCACACCCTGCTTAAAAGTTGTCTAAAGCCAAGTTTAAATTTACCAGAGGTGCTAGAGAGTACCCAGAAAGAATAGCTCTGCTTCATTTCACCACTATTTGAAGACATGCTTTTACAGTTTCTAATAGTGTGAAATCCAGAAATATATAACCTTCACATCTAAATATCCTGACTCAATGTGAAATGTTGTGAATTACTACCTGAACTGACTGCTTTTAATTTAGAACAATAAGTGTTTGTGTGACTCTGTTTTTAGAACCTTTGACTGCAAAGCATGCCAGGAAAAGTATTTTAAGCATTTCCATTATCACTTTAAATTGTGAACATTTATAGATTGCAAGTGACAAGACAGGAAAATCAAGTTCTGGCTTCCAAATGGATGGTGTGGTCAATGTTTTGCTGAATTTTCTGTATGTTGTAAAATATTAATAATTTCTGAGTATACTTACTGCCTGGATAGTACATAAATATTACATCACTGCTATATTTTAATTTATGAAGATGAATTTGAGTCACTGGACTACATGGTTATATAACTTTTTCTTTTCTTTTTTTCCCAGCATCAAAGCTAAGCCAGAAGATTTATCACATTTTCATCATCAGCTACAGGATTAAGAAAGGAGGCTGGGATGAATGTGACATAGACCACAGCAGCTCTCTTAAGACTTCTGGTATTACCAACATAAAGAGGCAGGTGGAATGAGAAGGACTCTGTCTAGATTGGCTTTTTAACATTCTCATTTTTTCCAGTAGTTATCACTGTAAAAGTATGCATGGATATTTATGTATTTATAAATCATGTACTCTAAGATGAGTTCATCAACATTGTAAAAGCCCTCTTTTCTATTTTCAGTTTTTTTTTTTTTTTTTTTTTTCTTACCAACAAGGTCTCACTCTGTCACCCAGGCGGGAGTACAAAGGTGCAGTATTGGCTCATTGCAGCCTTGAACTCCTGGGCTCATATTTTCAGGGTTTTTTGTTTTTCGTTTTGTTTTTTTGAGACAGAGTTTTGCTCTGTCACCTAGGCAGGAGTGCAGTGGTGCAGTATATTTTCAGTTTTTAAATGTCAGAATTTTTGTTTAAAATGCCTTTTTGGGCTGGGCACAGTGGCTTACACCTGTAATAATCCCAGCACTTTGGGAGGCCGAGATGAGCGGATCACCTGAGGTTAGGAGTTTGAGACCAGCCTGGCCAACACGGTGAAACCCCGTCTCTACTAAAAATACCAAAAAAATTAGCTGGGCGTGGTGGCGGACATCTGTAATCCCAGCTACTCAGGAGGCTGAGGCAGAAGAATCACTTGAACCTGGGAGGTGGAGGTTGCAGTGAGCCAAGATCGCACCGTTGCACTCCATCCTTGGTGACAAAAGTGAAACACTCTCAAAAAAATAAAAATGATAAAATAAAATGCCTTTTTGTTGTTGATGTAATGGCAGGTAATGAATTTTATAGTTTAGATTTTTCGACAATGTACCTTTAAGTGCAATTCTCTTTTATGGCCTTTTTCTTCCCCCACCAAGGCAAATCATATCCTTTAATTCCTATTTCCACCTGTCATATCCTTTAATTCCTATTTCCACCTGAAATTTATACCATACCTATACCCAACTACCACACATACTCATCCTTTTTTAAGAAATGAGAATCAAATCATAGACTTGAAGTACCCACCAGCTCATGGAAAGAGGCGGCCTACCAAAAAGCATCTGGCCTTAGTTTAAAACGCATTGACACAGGATTCCAGGGCTTTGTCCGGTCAGCAAGTTGATTTGTAAATTCTGTCTCCCAGTCTGCTTTTCTGGAGGAAGCCTGAGGCTTGGGTCTTCTAGACTTGAGGAACCACCTTGCACATAGCCTCTTAAGAAATGCTTGTTGCAGTCCTCCTTTGCTCTGAAATTTTGCTGTTAATGTTCCTCAACTAAGTGTCTGTTCTGTACCCCCTCTCTGCTCCTCTTTCTTGTTTAGTCCACTCCATTAAGTAAATAGGTCTAGGCATAAATACTGGGAGAGGGGCTTCATTTGGGAGGCAGTAGTGTAAGTTTATCACAGGAGGGGTCACTCAACAGTGGCAGGTGCTGTGCTTGGTACTAGCGATAGTGGCAAATAAGACGTTGGACCCTGCAGTCCGGGCATGGTGGCTCACGCCTGTAATCCTAGCACTTTGGGAGGCAAGGTGGTCAGATCACAAGGTCAGGAGTTTGAGACCAGCCCAGCCAACATGGTGAAACTCCACCTCTACTAAAAATACAAAAATTAGCTGGGTGTGGTGGTGTATGCCTGTAATCCCAGCTACCCAGGAGGCTGGGGCAGGAGACTCGCTGGAACCCAGGAGGCGGAGGCTGCAGTGAGCCAAGATTACACCACTGCACTCCAACCTGGGCAGCAGAGCAAGACTCCATCTTAAAAAAAAAAAAAAAAAAAAAAAAAAGCATTTTCTTAGTCTGAGTAGGAAGCTATGAAAAAAAGAGAAGAAAATGCATTTCCATTGGTTTCTCATGAATTCCATTTCTTTATATGATATGATACCCTGATAAAATAATAATAGCCTTTCAAGAATGCATGCACTACATAAAGCAAGTTTAAATTGTGGAATGATTTCCCTTCCATTGCTTTTATTTATTTTTGTTTTTTCAGAGCCGGGGTCTATCACTCTGTCACCCAGGCTGGAGTGCAGTGGTGCAATCATAGCTCACTGCAGCCTCAGACTACTGGCCTCAAGTGATTCTCTTGCCTCAGCCTCCCAAAGTGCTAAGAATACAGGCAGGAGCTACTAAACCTGGCCTCCTTTAGTTTGTTTTTGAAGACTTCTCTAGTTAATCAAAATCAAGTTTTGTTTCAATTTTCTAATCGGTTTTCTCTCATTGTTTCCTCAGTTAAACTGCTTTTCTTCTCGTGGTTTTACAATTTCTGTGGCTATCTCACATATAAAATTAACCAGTATTTTAGAATTTCATCCTTTATTTCTGGAATAGAAAATGGCAAAGAAATCTAAATGTTTGCATTTCAGCAATAGTCTTATAGGTAAAATGGCCCACTGTCAGCCTTGAAACAGTACTTCATATCACATAGAAGTTCATATACAGTGTCTTGCTGAAGACTTGGGGTAAAGATAGAGATCATAGGAAGGGACAAGTAATAAATAGGAGGATAACTTTTTTTTTTTTAAATCCAAACTACACCTAGAAAACTGCTTTCTGAAACATTCCTTAGTCTGTGGCTCACCTGATAATCTACCTTATCAGGAGGTAAGGATTCTGTCTGAACTCAGGATCCATTTGGATCGGTGGCCTACCTATGGGCAATGAGAGGAATCATATTAACTGTCACTGTCCATCCTCTGATGCTTTGTAGTCTGTAGTAAAATACGTACTGTCCCATCTAAAATATGAGAATGGTGTTACCCTAAATGTCAGATAAGTTGGTGTTTCTCAGCTCTCCAGCTCTAAAGAATCCCTGCTGGGTATCCCTTTATATCTGGAAGGAGACTGTCAGCTTCTGGTATCTAAGACCTGTGTGCCCTAAAACATCTAGTTATGGCTCTCATTCTTAACTAGTTTAGGGATAACTTTCTGTAGGAATGAGTAAACACAGATCTTCAGAGGCAAGCGTTTTAGAACTTATTGAAGACTTTTGGTCATATGGAAACTTAATTCAACAAAGAGTGCACCCTTAAAAAAAATCTCTACTGTCATTGGGTATGTGTATCTATCTGCGTGTGTGTGTGTGTGTATATATACATACATATATATACATATATATATAAAATGAAAAGCCAGCCAGGCAAGATTGTTTCTTCCCCAAAGTTCACTTTGTCTGTTCTTTCTTTTTTTTTTTTTTAAGTTAGAGACAAGATCTTGGTATGTTGCCCAGGCTAGAGTACAATGGCTGTTCACAGGTGCAGTCACAGTGCAGTACAGCCTTGACCTTCTGGCCTCAAGCCATCTTCCCACCTCAGCCTCCGGAGTGGCTGGGATTACAGATGCATGCTGCACATAGCTCACTCTGCCTTTTCTAAAGTCAGGACTCCTGGGGCTAGGTGGTGGTGGTGTTGGTTACTCTTCTGATTTTGGTTTGGAAGGTTTTCACAATGACTGCAGTAGGGTCAGAGTCCTCTGCATGTGCTCCTATCAGTGATGGATGTGGGCCTGAAGCCCTGCTCATCTACACACACTAGACCAAATGAGGAGATAGGGTAAAAAGACTATCATCTGAACAGATTGCTTGGAAATCAAAGAACAGAAAATAAAAATTGAGGCTGGGTGCAGAGGTTCCATGCCTATAATCCCAGCACTTTGGGAGGTGGGAAGATCGCTTGAATCCAGGAGTTCAAGACCAGCCTAGGTAACGTAGTAAGACCCCATCTCTACAAAACAATTTTAAAAAATAGGCATGGTGGTGCACACCTGTATGTAGTTCCAGCTACTTGGGAGGCTGAGGTGGGAGGATTGCTTGAGGCCAGGAGGTTGAGGTTGCAGTGAGCCATGATAGAGCTGCTGTACTCCAGCCTGGCCAATGAGTGAGACCTTGTCTCAGAAAAGAAAGAGAGAGAGAGGATGAGTGACATTGACACTATTTAGCCCCTATTCTTACCTACACTAGAGCTAGAGCTTTTTTCCTTGATGTTGTGTCAGACAGGGATGCCTCTTTAGAATATAAACCAGTGGTCCTAACCCAAGTCCTTTCTTTCCCAGCCTTATAGACTAAGGAACCAATGAACCCAAAATATGCTTGAATGTAGCCCCCTCCAGCCTCATTTGCCTTGGAGAATGTTGCTGTTAGGGGTCTGAGGCAGGTCTTGGTCCTCACCTAATGACAGAGAGGCAATGAACAGTAAAGAGGTCAACCTTGAGCTGTGTGGACCTAGTGACTAAAGTTCTTGCTTTGCTATGAAAGTTGGCACCAAAATCTCATGCTTCTAGGACTGCATTTTCCATTCCCTCTGACACTTTCATAGTAAGAATGTTGAATTGTCCCTAGTAGGTGTGAGCTGGTAGATAGTCCTTCAAATTGAGTGTTACTTTACCTCAGTGTAGGCATTTGCAAAGTGGGGATGATTCTTACTTCAAACTTTTTTGGAGGATTCAGTGGAAAAATGAATGTCTATGAGTACCTGGCACTTAGTAGGCTCTCACTGCTTCATTCCTGCCCTGGTTTCCCTCTAAGCCCAAGGAGGAAAGATAGGAAAGCCTTTCAACTAACTTAGATTTATACAAAACAGGTACCCACAATCATCCCATTCAACCAGGGTCCATCCCTGCAAAGGGATGCAAAAGTGGACCTTTTCTGTTTAATTTGTGGCACAGAGCCCAACAGGCAATCTGGCACCCATTAGCTGCTAGGTAAATGTCAGATACTAGGTGCACTGTCACCCCTGTACCGCTGGATCTAGGAGGTCTGGAGCTTGTGCAGCCTGTGGGTATGCGCCTTTCATTGTGAGCATGGCCGTTGCTCCAGCACAGGAGGCTTATCCTAGAGTTTGTTTTTGTTTTTGTTTTCTTGAGATGGAGTTTTGCTCTTGGTGCCCAGGCTGGAGTTCAGTGGTGCGATCTTGGCTTACTGCAACCTCTGCCTCCTGGCTTCAAGCGATTATCCTTCCTCAGCCTCCTGAGTAGCTGAGATTACAGGTGCCCACCACCACACCCAGCTAATTTTTTGTATTTTTAGTAGAGATGGGGTTTCAGCATGTTGGCCAGGCTGGTCTCAAACTCCTAACCTCAGGTAATCCACCAGCCTCACCCTCTCAAAGTGCAGGGATTACAGGCATGAGCCACCATGCCCAGCCTGTCCTGGAGTTTTGTCCTATAAACTGACTAGATTCCTTATCACTCTGGCTGTGAATTTTGGGCCCCAGCTCACTACAGAACCCAATTCCCCTTAAATCAGCTGTTTTCAACATCTCAGGTGGTAAGACTATGACTCAGATTCCTTCTTTTTGTATTCACCAAATTATCTTTTATGATGATTTTCTACTTTTTCAACAAAAAACAGAACTGCTATTTAAGCCGGGAGTGGTGGCCCATGCCTGTAATCCTAGCTACTTAGGAGGCTGAGGCACGAGGATTGCTTGAGCCCAACAGTTTTGAGTCCAGCCTGGTCAACATACGAGACCCTGTCTCTAAATAAATAAATAAATAAATAAAATTAGCTGAGGTGGCACGTGCCTGTAGTCCCAACTACTCAGGAGGCTGATATTGGAACTGCTTGAGCCCAAGGGTTCCAGGCTGTAGTGAGCTGTGATCATGTGACTGCATTCCAGACTGGACAAGAAAGTGAGACCCACTTAAAATGTGCCCAGAAGCTCAGAGCTTGGACCCTAGAGGTCCCCTGTTATTCTACAGGACTCCTGCCGACAGCCTATGCATGCTTGGCCAGAAGCTGTCTGGAAACTAGTTCTCAATCTTTGGCTTTAATAAAATTTCAGTCTTTAGTACTTGTATTGTTATTCTTAGAGCCTAATCCCTGACTTGGTTTTGAGAGGAAGCCATAGTGATTGTAGTCTCAAGCTGCCCTGTGCAAAAGAAGACCAAGCCCCAGTCAAAGAATTAATGTAGCAAGACCCTGTCTCTGCCAAAACAAACAAACAAAAACTGTCTAAGCACTAAGACAGGAACTTTTTCCTACAGATTAGTTTATCAAACTCGCCACCTCCAAGCCCTGGTATTGCCTTGGCTGGCTTGCAGATGGTTT